TGTGTTTCTGTTGGTTTCTTTGTTTGTGTTTTCCTGTTCTTGAATGCCTATCAGGCCTATGTTATGCTTCTTGCAGTGTCACACGTATTTCTTAGACTTTCTTGGATGTTTCTGCTGTATTTATTGATTGTTCTTTTCATAGATTGGTACTGCAATATTTGTCTTCAAGCTCACTAATTTGGCCTTTCATTGCTTCGTTTCTACAGCTTGACTCTTTCAAAGTGTTGTCAAATCCTAATGTCCTTAATCTTCTTAATTTCTATTTGTTATTTTTGTAGCTTCTGATTTGTTTTGTTGGTCAGGTGGCTCTTGTAAGGTTTACTGAGTTTTTTAGGTGTTTTTACCATAACTCCCTCAATATTTTTCTCCATTCATCGAAAGTATCTGAGAATCACTCTTCTGAATTCCTTTCTGGTAGTTCCAATGTATTTTCTTCCTCAGAAGGGTCTCTTGATTCTGTATACTGGTCACTTGTTTGAGCTCTTCCATCTTGCTTTTTAAAGTGAAATCATCTGTTGTCTCCAAGACATTGCGGGAGGTTTTTAGTTTGATTTTTTCTTCCATTTTTGATCAGGTAGTTATGGAGTGTGTGGAGGCCCTTGCCCATTAACTGTAATTTTTGAAGGTGCAGGGACAGCTGGTTCATGTGGAGACAATGGATTCATTAAGTGGAGCAATAAATAAATAATAAAACAAAAGCACAACACACCTGAATATCAAGACCAAGTAAACAACACACGCACGCATGCACGCGTGCACACGCACACAACCAACAACTGCTTTCTCCTTCTTAGTTCCAAGCCTGTGCCTGGCAAGATCTGCCCAAGGTGTTCACAGTAGGAGTGCATCCTCAGGTGTGTAAGGGTGGGAGTTAGTGGCATTTCTGGTCAACAGAGAGTTGTGTGGAGTTAGAATCACTTCACCCCAGTTGGCCAGCGTCTCTCTGTGCTTTATCCAAGCCACAGGAGCATGGGGGAAGGGGGGAAGCAGAACACCAGAACCAGAACTAGCCACTGCTTTTTAATCCAGACCCCTGTCTTGAGGCTAACTTGTCATTGCCAGGGGCATTGTTCTGACCTTTGAGGTGGTAGTTGTTTATCAAGACAAAAGTAAGAAGATAGGAATGGGTGGACACACACACACACACACAAACCCTAGCTAACCCTACAGCTGAAGAGCTACTTTCGCCCTAGGCCATTGCTGAGCGTTAGCACCTTCCAAGGAACTGTATGTAGGCAGAGTAGTAGGGCACACCTTCTACCTGAACCTGCATGAGAGTGTCTGGGTCTGCGTGCCCTCTGACCCCCAGGGTACCTTGGGGATGTGGTAAGACTCTGCTTCCCTTTTGTTAGCCTCCCATGCTGTGTGGCAGTCTTGTCAGGGCTGCCTCTCGTTCAGGGATGTAACACGAGGGGTGCAAAGGTCGTCTGGGACTAGATTGGGCCCTGAGTATCCCTTCATTCACCCTCCAGGTGTGGGAACAGGGGTGTGGCCTACCTCTCTCGTAGTCATGTGCTTCAGAGATTGTTCTGCACTGTGGGAATGGTTGCTTTGCTCATGGTTGGACAGATGAGAACTCACCGTTCCCCTTGATCTCTCTGTGTGGGTTCTGCCCTTTAATTTTCACTGTTGGTTTTTAGTTCACTATTTTTATTTCCTCAGAGACTCGGGGCTCCAGGTTTTCCCTATATATTGATTTTTTTCCCCACTTCTTTGTTGGAGAAGGTCAGTGTAGCATATCTGCCTAGGCCTCTGTCTTTACCAGAAGACTCCCTACTCACTATTGACAGTGTGCTGCATCTCCTGTTTCTAATCCATCCCAATCACCTTCCCTCATCTAGAAGAGTCCTTGTTGGTGGTGCGTGCCATCGAGTCTGGCTCATAATGACCCCATGTGACAGAGTAGAACTCTCCCGTAGTGTTTTCTAGAGCGCATTGTTTACAGAGAAGATTGCTGGTCTTTTTTTCCTACAGAGTGTTGGATGGGTTCAAACCTCTAACCTTTCAGTTAGCAGGCAATGGCATAACCATTGCACCATGAAGGACCCTTACTGTCATTGACCACTTGGCTTTCAACCCACGCTCAGGGGTGTTCCTTCTAGATCACAAATGTGATGTCACTCCTTTGCTTAAATGTCTTCCTGTATTTCCCTTTTGCCTTGAGGACAAAGCCTCAAATCCTTCATAACCTGGCTTTTTCCTCTTCTCTCGATTTTTCACCTTTCGCTTTTCTCTCACTGAAGCAAACACCAAAAGCAGTTGCTTGCTTTTGACTGAGTCTAACTCCTAGCAGCACCATGTGTTTTTCAGAGCAAGCTGGTGCTCCCTGGGTTTCCAGCACTGTGGCCTTTCAGAAGCAGCTCACCAGCTCTTTCTTCTGAGCCACCTCTTGGTGGGTCCAAACTGCCGACCCTTTGGTTAGTCGTTGACCACTTCGTTATTTGTGCCGAGAAGTCTCTAGACAAGTCATGCCATGGACGCTTTCTGCCTGTCACCTGCTCTGCCCTCGGGCTAATTGCTACACCTGTGCTACCCCCTTGGTATCTACTTGCTGGGCTCAAGTTCATCTTTCAGCCTCAGCCTGGCCTTCATTTCCTCCAAGAGGCTCTTACTCTTTCTCCCAGCCACCAGCAATCACCTGCCTATAGATCCAAGGATGTGCTCACAAGGTTCTTATTTAGCGACTGTTCTCAGTGACTTCCAAGTTGGCTGCAGAGAACCCTGCAGCAGTGCGTGCGGGTCTATGAATGACGGCAGCAGACTTTTCTTCCGGGGGCTCTGGAGCACCTTGGGTGAGGCTCAACTGGCACCCTGTCAGTACGTGGTGCCAGGTGGTGAGGTGTGGACAGAAAGAAGCTTCAGAAGGTGTCAGCCACATCTAGAAGAGCCTATCTACAGAAATGCAATAGTCCTTACTGTTGAAAAAGATAACGAAGGAGCAAATACAACTTCCCCCTGGGGGAATGAACAGCCTCACCAGGTTGCAATCAGATTGAAGCGCTCAAAAAGAGACCTAGAGTAAGCAATAGGAGTGGGTGTCTCTTATGCGTCCTTTCTTCATGAATGGCCCCACTGCACAGTTACCTGATTGCCCACGTCAGAAACCTACAGTCATCTGAGGTCTCTCCTTTTCCATCACCTCCAGTGGCATTACCAGGCTTGGTAACTCATGGTAGCACCTCCCCACCCATGGACCTTCTCCTACACCAGACCAGACAGAATGCAAGTTAGGTTCTGATGAGCTGACCCTGGTGTATTTCTGATATAAACGGAATACCTCTTTTATTATTTATTACCATTGCATTTTTATAAACCTGGCACTGTCTTGAACAGCAAATCATGAAGCTAAACATCTGCAAGTGAGCATCTGAGAATGGCGATGTTGGCAAGTTGCACACTGTGACAGTACTAACGATGTCCCCCCCAAACAAACCCTTTTGGTAGAGGATGGATGTGATACCATGAGTGAGGCCATTGCTCACCCCCATCTGTTCCATCACTGACCCCTCAGTACCACTAGATCCGGGCCCTCTCCTCACCCTTATTGCTGCTTCTTGGGAAAGGACCCTCTAAACTCCACAAGGCGTTGGAACCGAGCTCGCTGACTGCGGTCTCACTCTGGTCATATCACTTTTCATGGTAGCAGCCACACCTGCCTGCCATCGTCACCTCACCACCCTTCTGCTCCTCCCTCACGATGCACCCCTGCTCCTCCCTGGGGAGGTCACAAAACCCTTCGGACGTCTCAAGTTCTGGGTCTTCCTGGGTCAACTCCTTGCCCTGAACGCCCAACCATGATGGTCTCCCCGGCAAAGGCAGCTAACAGGTGCACTCCACCAACGTTTGTAGACCTGCCCCTGACAGACCTTCTACAATGTGTGCTTCTGGGACATTTCCTCACAGCCACAGCTTAAACCTTGGACAGCTGATTCCTTCTGAGAATATCTCCCTCCCTCTCCCAGCACCTCTCCTTGGCCTGATGGAGTCTCCTGAACCTGTCAGAACGCCCTCCGTCTCCACACTTCGCCTGGCCTCCCTTCCCTGTTGCACCTTGACTTGTTGAGACATCCCCTCTGTACTCACTCAGCCCCGTTCGTCCATTCCCTCACCGACGGGTCTCCCTCTTGGTGGCACAAACAGTTAAGCATTCCATTAGATTGGCAATTTGAACCTCTCCAGAGGCACCCCGGAACACAAACCTAGCGGCCTCCTTCCAAAAGTACATAACCTTGAAAACGCTGTGAAGCCCAGTTCTACCCTGCAATACATGGGGCTACACGAGTAAGGGTCGCCTCGAAGCTCTAGCTGTGGTCGGGGTCACCTGCTCACGTGTCTGCCCCCCTGCTCACTGAGGGTAGGAAGCATGACTTGCCTGCAGATGAAGCCCCGCTTCTTAGCCTGGCATGCAGTGAGTGCTTCGCCAATATTTGTGGAAGGCAGGGCTGAACCAAGTTACGAAGGAGGAGTCTTGTGGAAATCTGCTCTCTGAAACTTTCATCTGCTCACCACGTAAACAAACAAGGAGGATGGAGAAGCCAAGTCAGAAGTGCGGCTGAGAGAAACTTCAGCAGGTCCCTCGGGGCCAGAGAGCTGAGATTCCACATGTGGCCTGAAAAACTGCCACAAAGCCCACAGGGACTTCTGGGCCTTAGAGCGTGAAGAAAGAGTCTAATCGCCTTGCAGTCAGACAGATGTGCCCGTCGTTGCCATGGCAGCGCTCAGAATTGGCCAGATGTGCGTGCCATCAGCGTGTCTGGAAAACTAGAGGCGCCTACGACAGCAGGGCCGGCAAAAACATCCCTCAGACTCCCGGCGGTGGCGTGGGAGGGGTCGGCCTGTCTTGGAGGGTGCTGTCCCCGGTGATCCCAGCCCTCAGGACCCAGAGCCTGGAACCTTCTGACCAGCCTCCAGGCTTTGGGTGCCATCCTCTGTTCCTTTTACATCGAGGAGAGCCCCTCCCCACCGCCCCCGCCCGGCCTCACCCTGCGCTCCCTCCCTAGGTGATCAAGCTTGCCTTTGAGGAATTCGACTTGGAGAGGGGCTATGACACCCTGACGGTCGGGGACGGTGGGCAGGACGGGGACCAGAAAACCGTTCTCTACATGTAAGTGAAGTGGTGCCCACGGTCGGGGGGTGGGATGGCGCGCACCCCTAGGCTGTGGGAGGTGGGAGTGGGCCCCCCCTCCCCGCGATTTCCCTGATGCAAAGGCAGGTTCAGCAGCACAACTGACTTCTGGGCCAGTCCCTCCACCTCTCTTTGTGCCCTAACCAAGGGAAGCAGACAGCTGGACCCACTTCCCCCCAGAAATGCAAAACCTGAGCAGGTTCTGGGGGAACTGACTCTGGGGCAAGGGGAGCGAGAGTTCCCCAGTGAGCCTGGAGCTGCCGTGTGCTTCTGTGCAGTTTCCACTCCCGCCAACCACAGGCTTTCCTCGGGCGGCATAGTCCCCGCCCAGCCTGACTCCACACACACCCTGGAAGTGGTTGGTAAGCGCCCTGCCAGACTTGACACCTGACAGACGCAGTGCGCATTTCGGAGCTGGAGACAGAGAAGTTAGTGTGACACAATCTAGTCCCTGCTGTCAAGTCAAATTGGACCCAGAGCGACCCTATAGGACAGAGTAGAACTGCCCCTATGGGTAGAGCAGGTGTCTGCACAGGCAGCTTGGCCCCTCACCTGGAAGGAAAGGCCATGTCCTCTGAAAGCAATACCCACGCGGCCCACTAGAGGGCGTGCTTCTGCCCAGGTCTGCTCTGCTGTGAGGGTCATGGAGATCAGTCTTGGGGCATATAGACACTCCCAAGATGACATTCGCATGCTGCCATCCCTGCCCCTGAGGAGGCCTGGTGGGAGTGAAAGGGTTCAAATCCCCCGACTGCTCACAGAAAGTTGGGTGCTTTGAGCGCCCCAGCGACTCTGTCGGAGAAACGCCCTAGATGATACTCTGTTCCCAGGAAGACAGCAGCCTTGAAAGCCCGGGAGCAGCTCTACTCTGTCCTCTGAGGCCGCTGTGAGCCGGACACAGCGTGGTGGCACGCAGCAGTGACATCTGATGCCCTGAGCAAAGGAGAGTGCAGGTCTCTCTCCGGAAGCCAGGGGTCTGCGAGGTTGGAGCCTCGGGAGAGGAACCGAGCCCTCCTCCCAGCAAGTGGAGCACATGCTGCTTGTTCCAGAAACACAGTGGGGCCCGAAACACCCTACCCTCCAGAGACCTTGGTTTTCCTCTAGGCTGCTTGGGCAGCCTTTCTCTGTGGTGGCTTGGCGGGGCGCGCCCCTCTAAATCTCTCTGTCCTGACAGTCTGACAGGTACGTCGGTCCCAGATCTGATTGTCAGCACCAACCATCAAATGTGGCTTCTCTTCCAGACCGACAGCAGTGGCAGCTCCTTGGGGTTCAAGGCTTCTTACGAAGGTAACTGCCCTTGGTGAGAAGGATGGCGTCTACCTGGGGAGGCAGAGACAGGGGCTCTGGGTTTGGAGTCAGAAGCTTTGGGTTCAAATCCTGGCTGTGCCCTGTACTGGCTTCCCCCTCCTCAGGAAAATTCCTGGACTTCTTTGAGGCCCAACTTCCTTCTTGGTTCAACGGGTCCCCAGGTTGCTTTGAGGATTATATTGAAAAACACAAAACTCACTGCCATTGAGTCAACGCTGACCCCTGGCGACCCGATAGGACAGTGTAAACCTGTCCCTGTGAGTTTCTGAGACTGTAATGCTTCACGCGAGTAGGAAGGCTCATCTTTCTCCTGCAGAGTGGCTGGTGCTTTCGAACGGCTGACCTTGCAGTTAGCAGCCCCACCAGGAACCTCCTCCACCACTAGGGCTCCTTTTGAGTCATTCACTTACAAGGCTGCACTCAAGGCACCAGCACAGACATCAGCTCCACCCCCTAGTCACGCCTGCTCCAGATCCGCCTTTCACACCAGCACAGCACAGAGCCATCTGACATGCAGCCCCAGGAAGGCTAGAGCAGAGCAAGGCCCCCGAAGGTTTTCACCAGCTGTCTTTTGGAAGGAGATCACCACGCCTTTCTTCCGAGGCACCTGCTGGTGGACTCAGACTTCAACCTCGGTGTTCCCAGCCAAGGTGCTATTGACCCCACCCAGGGCCTCCTTAAGTAAGACTCACCGTCACCAGATAGACTCTGAGCAGAGTCACCTGTGGAACAGAGTAGAGCTTCCCTGCGGTGGGTTTCTGAGACTACACCTCTCTACAGGAGCAGACAGCCTCATCTTTCTCCCCCAGGTCTTCTGGCGGGTTCAGCCTGCTGACTTGCAGGTAGCCCAACAAGGACCCCCCACACAGCCAGGGATCCTGTGGGGGGTGGTCCTTAGACCTTTCAAAAGCCCTTTAAAAGTTCTGAACCTTTCTTATTTTTAAAAGTTGTTAGGAGGCTGGGGGGATGGATAAATAAATACTAACACTTGTTAGCCAGGGGGCAATCATTTCCCACCGACTCTCTTTTCTGGACTGTAGCTATAGCCCAGTGTGGATGACAGGCAAGGCACATACCATGGTGGGCGGCCAGAGGAAGATGCAAATGGGAGTAGCCTTCAGCTCTTTGGGGGAAGAGGCATTCAGAACACAACAACCTCTGGGCCCCAAGAGATATCACACCTCCCCTTACCCACCAATCTTCTTGCAAACTTCCTCTTGGCTAATGAGTGCTAATGCTGATGCCCACCAGAACAGAAGGAGATGCTTGCTCATCTCTCCCCACCCCCCAAATATTTGCTGAGCTCCTGTTGAGTCCAGGCCTCTATACCAGCCTGAACTCTGCACCCTCATCTCAAAGGGCCTGCACTCCCAGGAGGGGACAAAGGAGGGAAGATGCAAGTACAGGACAAAAGCAAGACCGTGACTGTAGACAGAGTGGGGGCGGGGGGGGCCTCAGGAACAGGATCGCGAAAGGTTTCATCAGGAAAAGGAGCCGATGTCTTTAGGATGTCTTTCCCTGCTAGAGGAGCCCTGGTGGTAGTGGCTTAAGCATCGTGCTGATAGCTGAGGGTGAAGGGGTTCAAACCTGCCAGCCACTCTGTGGGAGGAAAATAAGGCAGTCCGCTTCTGAAAAGATTGATGGTATTGGAACCCCTGTGGGGCAGTTTTACTAGCGCCTCAATAAGGAGCCCTGGTGGTGTAGTGGTGGTGTAGTGGTTATGTCCCGAGCTGCTAATGGCAAGACCAGCCGGGTGAGACCACCAGCTGCTCTGGGGGGGGGAAACGCGAGGCTTTCTATTCCCGTACAGAGTTTCAGTCCTGGAAGCTCACAGGGGCAGGTCCCCCTGCCCTACTGGGTTGCTATGAGTCAGCATCAACCCAGTGGCAGTGAGTTTTAAAGGGCTGTTCTGAAACAGAAACGACTCAATGGCCGCTGGTGGTACCCAGGCACGATTCCACGGGCAGTGCAGATGGTGAATGCTCTCCGCCCATCACCAAAAGATCATTCCCTGGGCAGTGTGTTTGGATGGGTTTGGGGATAAGACATCAATAACATGATCTTAAAAGAGAGAATACTAGTTGACCAACAGAAGGAATACAGGGAACGATTCTGAGCAGCAGAGCTATTGCTGAAATTAACAGAAGGTAAAATGGGAATTAATCTAATGTCCTGTTTTATGGCTCAAGAGTTTAGGGACTAGAAGCTACTCTGGAGTTAGGCATCAGAGAATGGAGCTTAGCCGTGAAGACACAGACAGAAAGGACATAGGTTCAGCCCCAGGTTCAACCCCTTCAATGGTTGCCCAGGAGAAAGACAGACTTGGGGGAGACTGGAGAGCTGTGTCCAAACATTTGAAGGGCTCATCTCTCCGGGAAGAGGACTTGGCCTTGCCTAATGTCTGCTAAGAGCCTCAGCTGTGGGGGAAGCTTTATGTTCTTGACATTCAGTGTCATGGGGAGAACTGGGCTGCCCACAGGGACCAGCCAGGTACAGGAGGGGCTGCCCAGTCAGGAGCACTCTGACCCTCCCTCCATTCCTTCTCTTTCAGGCCTTAGAAGCCTTCTTTCGGGGATCGGGGTGGGGGTGGGGGAGATAGGGGGACTGAAGCTAAACATCCATTTGAAGAGTACTGCTCCCTGTCAATCATTGCTCACACCATATGGTGGCTTCTGTCCCACCTACAGTCAATCAGGTAATGCCACCTGACCAGGCCTTCTGCTTCTCTGTCTCCATGTCCCGTGTTTTCCTTACTATTCCAGTACCTCCTCACCCACCCACCAATCGTATAAGATTTCACCTCCTTAGAGCAACTTTGTAGAAGCCAAAGCATTCCGCCAATCAAATGGAAGCATGATTGTTCTAGAACCCGAACCTGGTCCCCGATTCTCTCTTCATTAAAGAACAAGCTGCAGTGGCACCCTGTCCTGCCCCTTAGGAAACAGATAAGTAATCCCACGGCTCTCCAGGATAGCATTCCCAACCCAGCTCTGGGTCCTATGAATCCATTCCAGGAAGAGGCTGCAAGTTCTTAATCTCACCGTCCTCCGGCCCAGTGCCCGGCACAGAAGAAGGGCTCAGAGAAGCTCACAGCATATGGTCCTAAGGACTTTGGACACAGGCACAAGTGGGCACCCTTCCTTGGCCCCCTCTCAATTCCTCGTCACCCATTTTACCACCTCCTGGTCCTCAGCAGCATAGATTCCAATACTTATTTACCCTACCTGATGCCTTGTTTTCAGAACAAAAACCACCCAACACAGTCACCCACTCCGGTAATTTAAGCCATTTGTACTCTCGCCCCAAATGTATGCACGCTCACTGTCACCGAGTCGATTCTGACTCATAGCCCTCCTGGGGGGGCAGCAGAGAACTGCCCCTGTGGGTTTCTGAGACTGTACCACTTTAAGGGAGTGGAAAGCCTCACCTTTCTCCTGAGGACAGGCTGGTGGTTTCAAACTGCCGACCTTGTGGGTGGCATCCCAATGCATAACTCTACCACTATGGCACCAGATCAAGTGCAGCTATCTGCTTTTGCAGCCCCCCAGGATCATTCCGGGGAGGGGGGCGGGGTGTGTGTGTATCACCTCCTTTGGGAAGCACAGCTCCCAAAGACCCCACATCCTCTCTAATGCCCCCACACCCATGTTTTAACTGGGTTCTGCCATTGACTGCCTGTGTGATCTTCAGCCATTTTTTCCTCTTCTCTGGGCCTCAGCTCATCGATATGAACCTCACCTTGTTGGTCCTTCATTTGCATTGTGATAACGAATATACTAAACTGTATAACTAACACTCTCTGTGTTTTTATTACTCCACGGGGGGATCAGTGTAGTGGAGCACCCGGCACAGGACCTGACAGCTGATCATTGCTCATTTAAAAGTTGCCCTGTTCTTCTGCATCCCTAGTCCTGAAGCCACTGCTCAAAGTTCCCGAATTACCTCTGGCCTCTCTCAGCCCTCCTGGGAAGCCCCTTAAGAACAGAGGGCTAGGCTCAGGAATGGGAGTGTTGCTGGCGTCAGAGGTTCCATGGGTGGATACCAGACATTCAAGGGCAGAGGCCTCTCAGGTATAGCACTTCTACTCCGCCCCCAGCAGACCTGACCCCATCATCTTCTGACCTGATTCAGGTAAAGGCATCATTGCCCTGGCTCAGGGCAATTGACACTGCAGCTGCATATACTTACCACCACCATCCCCACCATCGCCACTACCTCAATTACCACCACCACCACAACCACACAATTACCACTACCACCATTACCACCGAAAGCATGATTCCTATGAGGGGCAAGAGGCTGCAAACTGAGGGGCTTATTACTAAGACTTTCTTCCAGTGTTCCTGCTTGGCAGAATTCCAGCCCTAGCTAGTGGAGGGTGGGGAAGGGGACTCAGGCTCTCTCAATAGGTGAACATACAGAGCCAGAAAACGCAACCCCTCTCCCTGGGGGTGGCCAGCTGTGGGAAATGCACTCAGAGTCGCAATTGCTTTGCTTCTCAGTAGAACAAGAAATATTTAAGGAGCAGGCAATTAGCATTTACCAGAAACATTATAAAATTACACACAACTTGCTAACAAGTTTTAGCATCAAATCTGGGGGTCTCCCTGCTTCCTGAGTCTTCGCCTGGAAGTTGGCCACCTAAAGCCTGGGCTGGGCAGGCTGGCCCGAGAGAGGGAAGGGCAAAGAGCCTGACCCTGAAGACACGGAGGAGTGGGAAGGGAGATATTAGGCAGAAAGGAATTCCCATGGCCCAACGGGCTCACTTTAGGAATCTGGCCATCTCTTTACTCGCCAAAACGTTCTAAGACCCTGTTACATGTTGCAGACACCGGCCAGGATATTGAAGCTGCAAGGACCGGGAGGGCACGTCCACCTTCCCCTCATCCCCTGTCTGTCTTCACTGCAGTAGAGTACGGGCTGGAAAGTGGGGAAACGTAAAGACGGAACAGCCAATCTTCCTCCAGGACATCAAGACA